TTCCGCCAGACGTGGGCAGTTCCCCAGGCCTGATGAGCCAGCAAGGGTCAGAACAGGTGGTAGGAGCAATCAACCACTCACTGTCTGTTATGCCAACACCAAGGAGTCAACTCAACCCAAGTACTTATTCTAATGGACTTTTCCAGAAAAAGCAAATGGAAGAAATCAGTAATAAATGGCATTTAAAAATAACCAAAGCATCGAAGAGAAAGAGTGTGCTTTATCTTCCTCAGAAGGAAAAAAAAAAAACCCACATCCTTACTATGGAGAGAAGGATCACTGGTCAAAGACTGACCAAGAGAACTGGAAACACTTGTGAACACCTGTTATTCCTTCTGGAGGTGCATGCATTTCTCACTTAACGGAACTGATGTCTTTCTGCAGTTTGCCGGCACCTATATTTCTGTAACATGAATCCTTTTTTTCTATTCACCTCCATTACAAAGTAGAAATATGTTTTTCTTGGAAAGGAGTAGCCCTTCATTCCCAAGACAATTTTATGCCATCCTGGGCAACTCAAAGTGTTAATATGCTTGGCTGCTAACCAAAAGGTTCAGAGTTTGAGTCATGCAGACGTGCCCTGGAAGAAAGGGCTGATAACATATTCTGTAAGATCAGCCATTGAAACCCTGTAGAGCACAGCATTTTGTGTGTCCCCCACTTTCTTCATCCAGCCAGGATTTCAGCTGGGCACCCAGTGCTGCTAGAAGGAGGATGAGGAAGGGCTGTGCTCTTGTAAGGCCAGGGCCACCGTGGCCAAGGGGCTGAATGCCCAAAGCAAGCCTCTCCTCACTTAGGGAGCAGTGAATAGAGTCTCTGGACACAGAACAAGGTCATGGTTGCCAAAGTCACATGGCACCAGGGAGAGGAATGGGTGGGTCCGAGTCCCAGGGACAAATAACAGAATATGAGATTTGGGGCCAAAGCTGGTGATTTGATTTGATTCTTCCAGAACTTTTATGGAATGTGGACACAAGCTCATACCAGGAAGTACCTAAAGCCACGGTTCTCAAAGTGTGGTCCCTGGACCAGTAACATCAGTGTCACCCAGGAACTTGTTAGAAATGCAGAATCTCAGGCTTCCCTCAGGCCTCCTGAGTCAGAAACTCCAGGTGAGGCCCATCAGTCTGGGTTTTGATCAGCCCTCCAGGT